TTTAGTTTTTGTCATGTCACTTTATTCAATTATTTGTGATGATCTGCAGGTGTCCCTATACTTTTGTCCAGGTAGTGAAGGTGCATTCTTTGTGTTTAAGACATATTTTAATCCTCTCATTCTGATTGAAGCCAAGAATTACAAGTGACTCAATAGGTGCATTATTGAGATATATTTTTTCATTTGCTATGTAAATGTGAAAGAACATTAACAGACATTATGATCAAAAAGGGAATTCCAAATTACAAACATACCTGATGCAAATTGTGCCCGACTTGTATAAGTATATCCATAAAACTTTTGAAAATTTTCCACAGATACCAAAGCACTATTTGGTTTATCATCTATAGACAGGTTTTTCTTATCTGCATTTGTTAAGAATAATAAAGCCCAATCTTTCTTCTCAACATTCATAGCTTTGGTAACCTTATTATTATATAAGAGATTTGTTAACCAACAATTTAACAATACATGCGCATTTAATATGTGAAGTAGTGTTGTTACCTTTTCATACACATTATTGAACAAGCCTTGGTTGATGACAACATTAGAAGTAGTAGTTGATTTTGATTGTTGAGCTATGCAAATTTCACCCGCAGGCTCAGAGCTTTTATTAAGAAATCCAAAGGCATCAAAGGGAGCCCCAGACACATTAAGAAATACACAACCAATATAACTCCTGATATTATCATTCTTGAATAAATCAAGGTTGATATAACCATTTCTTACTTCCATTATATCTACATATTTTGCTTGATTATTCTCATAAGTTTTAGTGACTAAATTATATTAGAATGGGATTTGAGTTTGATGTGATTTTTTATGTTAGAAAAAAATCTGCAAAACATGATACCTGGGTATTGATGTAGTAATTTGTACAATTTGATATCTTCTTGAGGTAAGTCAACTTCAACATCTGGAAAACTAAGAGAGAAATCTGCACCCTTACAAAGGGTCTTCAAATTAATCTTCTCATATCCCATTAAACAAAAGAGACTGAGACATAATGCCCAGAATTTGACATTAAAATCTTCAAAATTCTGCCAATACATTGGCTCATCATATTTTAACATGGATTTCCAATACATCATCCCAGGGTCTTTGGAGTCTTCAACAATTGCACATACCCACACATAAGGTAACTGAATAAGGTATTCCTCAGTTCGTTTTATTGGAACCAGGTTCACAACTCCCATTGAACTAAGCTCCTGATATGTCATTGAGCTTTCATTGGGATCAACCACATCATCTTTATGAACTGGAAAACCCAATATGGCCTTTGCGAGAGGTATTGTAAACCAATGTGAGTTTAGATGAAGATGATATTTCCTTACAATCCTGCATTTGACATCTTCCATGATTTTCTTGATATTCACATTATGAACAACTGTCTACTCATCTGTCATCATTTCTGATTCTAGTTTTTCTGAAAAATACATGTAGTAATATTCCAATGTTTTCACATGTCCACCAATATCACTAATACTTATTCGAAAATATGGATGCAGGTGGACATATTCATTATCAAATAGATTCATGGCTTTACCAATTTCAATTGCATCATCATCATTAAGTAAAGTTAGTGGGAGGAAAAATGGTTCATGCATAGAACCAAAGATATATTGATCCAAAGGTCCTTCAATAGTTCCAGCCAGAATGGGAATGATAAAAATGTTTTCAGGTGAATCACACATAGTTCCTCCAATGATGTTTATAAGATTCTTAAAGGTGTTTTTGTTAAGATCGTACAATTTATTAATCTCATCAACTCCAAGGACCAGGACCAGTAGAGGATTAGAAGCTATTTCTAGATTCTTTTGTTCAATGATGTCATAATAAACAATTCGGAGAGCAGCACTCAGTGTAAAGCTTGAAATTTTGAATAATCATTGCATAATGAACAAAAAGAAGAAAAATCAAATTTGCCAATGCTTGGTTGTGGTTGGAAGTACTCAAATAGAATCGTATTGCAAGAGATGTCTCATCACCAATGGTTATGTCTAAAGGAACAGTAGGGGATCCATTCCCATAGGCAGTGTTTATGACAATCATATTGGTAAAAGCATTACATAATTCTTGTATTTCTTTATCTTCATTTTCACTTTTAACTTCAGCTTTATTCTTGAGTAATTTTCTAACTTCATCAAGAAATCTACTCTTTCCAACTCCAGGTCCACCTGCTAAGATAGGAATTGGATGAAGGCTTTTGTCTCTTTTATTACGATTTTTAAATCGGGCTACAATTCCATCCAAAGTTGCAGTTGGGCCATTCCATAGGATGTTAAAAGTGTCATCTCGCCCACAGAACTTAAGTTTCTCACCAAAACCTCTAACAAGCTGAAAAGGTCAATTTGATTTTAGTCAGAGGAGCTAAAGACACATTATTGAAAAGATGACAAAGCTGGAATACTTGCACAGATTTGGTCACGGTTCAATGTAAATTGTTGTATCCACTTGTAGATAGAAAAAGAATCATTCCAGTTATGTCCTAAAAACCAATAATAAGTAAGAGACTTATACTGCTCCCATTTATACTTCTTGTCACTCTCCAACCTCTTCTTTTCTGTTTATTTAGTTAAGAAATTGGATAATTTTACACTTTACCTGCTGCAGCAACTAAAAGAGAAAAAAAAAGAAACAAAGTACAAGTTAGTCAACATTGTAACAACATATCAAATGAATAAATGGAATGAATGAAAATAATTTTTTTTATGCAATTTGTTCATTACCTTTTTCTTCAAAATCTATAAGTTTAATTTGCAATTTCCACATCTGCTCATCCCAATCATCAACCTTCTTCTCCAACCTCTTCTCTTCTTCCTCCAGCCTTGCCCTCTCCTGCTCCTCCTTTTCATTAAGCTCATTTCTTAATGCCCCTCCCCTCAACTTCTTCAACAACATTCCATCATCTTCCCCCTCTTGGAACTCCTTCAACTTCTCCTCTGCCTTCTTATGCTCTTCTTTTGCCTCCGTTAATTGTTGTTCAATTTTTTCAATCATTGCCATTTTCTTGAGATTAATAAAAAAGTTTTAAAGATGAATTTCTAAAAAAAAATCCTAAAAGTATTATTTTCTTAATGTTGTAATTTTTATAAATTTTATAATTGTGAATTAAAAAATGAAGAGCAATTGATGTTTATTTATGATGAAAAAAATCAACAACATCTGCAAAGAAACCAATTTTAAAATGTTAATTTTTTTAAACCAACAGAAATAAAAAAAATCATTACCATTTTTTCATTCTTGTAATTCTTGTACAGTGCATAACATCATAAGCCATCAAATTACTGCGCCAATGTATCAAATTCAAGAAAAATTTTCAAATTTTTTTTAATTACTTTCATTACAAAAATACAGTTAAAAAAAACAAATCACGTGATAAAGGATTTTTACTCATTATTTCTATCAATTTCTTCCATAATATTATCAGGTATTCTTCTATGTG